TTAGGTTACCAGTGGGATAAGAGAGAACAACAGGGAGGTGAGAAGATTTAGAAGTCCAACCTAACTGCCCAAGAATCTATTTTGCAGTTGCATTAATCCTTTGGCACCAATCTCTGTGTATTGGAACCTTGTCTTGGAAAACAGATGTGATCAGAAATGTAAAAGAAAATTAGAATAGTCTCCACTCTAAAAATAAAGCAGGGCTTATCTGTGTAGGGTTGCAGTAACAGCTTTCATTATTGAAATTCCACCCTCCCTGGGGTAAATGTTTCATTCATAGGAGAAGCAGGAGTTCTTTGTAGAACAGCTTATTGGACTGATTCTACATCTTGTTCAGTTTCTTCTACTTAAGGGCTCATCTCATCCTAACCACACTCATCTGCATTAACCGCCCCATTTATATTTAAAGAATGGTTGGTAAGTGCAGTTATGCAAAAGGGTGTTTTCTTCCTCAGTATCCGTAGCTTGTTTCCTTATCTCTCCTACTTCAGTTGAATATTAGAAATGAAGGGAAGAGTTTTAAAATGTCAATGTAACATTATTATCTTAAAAAACAAAAAACAAAGCCTACCTTTGGCTGGTGAGAAACGACTTTTAACTGTTTGCTAGATTTCAGGTTTCCATAACCTAGAACACTTTTTAAGATTGCAGGTTTTTTCCTTTATTGTAAGCATACTCTTTAGCAAAAAAAAAAAAAAAACAAAAACCAAAAAAACCCTCCAAAAAATCAGTCTTTTGCAGCTGCTGCTATTTGCTCTTCAGTTTGAAAAAGCCACTGTCATCGTGTTGCCCACAATTCTGCTGCTTTACTGAACCCTGGCCTTGCATGTCACTGACACTTTTCCCCAGCTGACATTCTTCACTGTTCCCTCAGTGGCTCTGCTCTGACCTCTAGTCTAGTCTCTGGGAATTTCATAGAATTTCATTTGTACCTGATGTAGCTCTCCCTGCAGTTTCTAAAACCTAAGACAGAGGTGAAGATAGTTACTGGGTGCTGATTATGCTTCTTGGGCCGATGATGTCTTTACAGAGAGGAATTTGTGTTTATGAGTGTTACCTGTTTCTCTGACTTGTTACTAAACAGCTTAACTTTGCTGGAAACTTCTTGTTGATGAAATGAAGCTCTTAGAATTTTGTTCTTTATTCTACTTTCTTATCTTTCCAGGAATGGTGGACCCATCTCTGGCTGAATGAAGGATTTGCATCCTGGATTGAGTACCTATGCGTAGATCACTGTTTCCCGGAGTACGATATCTGGACTCAGTTTGTTTCTGCTGATTACACACGAGCTCAAGAGCTTGATGCCTTAGACAACAGTCATCCTATTGAAGTAAGTTCTCTCTTTGCTATTGATCATCTCCCTTTTTTTCTTGTCAGCTGGGTGTAAAGAAAAAAAGGAGCTTTGCAGTCACTCACAATGCGAAGGAAAATCTGTGGTTGCACTTACACTGGCTGGATTTTCCTCTACCTGAATTAGTATTTCAGAAGGGAGGTTTGAGGGTCCTGAAGATGATGACTTCTGGAGTTTTTCTGCTCTACTGATGGGAAATGGCAAAGTTGTGATCAAAACTCACTATTATTTGTGTTTATTTTGGTTTCTGATCGAAGTGAGGAGTTTTCAGGCCCTTGAGCACAGCAAAATATCTACTGACTTACTCCAGTGCTCGATAACATAAAACAAAGTGCAGCATAGCCCAGAGCCCAAGCTGCCAAACTGGGAGCTGTGCTAAAAGAAAACTCCTTTCTAATTCTTAGAAATAACTACGGACAAGCTTTCAGAGAGCTTAGGAAATGTTTGATGTAAGAGATGTTGGGTGTTGACCTTGTTTTGTACAACAGGTCATTTTAGAGTGACTTACTCATTGAGTGCGTTTCCTGAGTATGTATTGTTCACAGAATTAAACAACTTCCACTGATTTTTACTTTTGGGTCAAACCAGAGGATTGAAGCAAGATCCCCAAGTCTATTTGATTAAATACCAAAACCTAAATTAAAGTATGTTTAACTTATAAACCAATCCTAACCCAGCCTTATATGAATAAGTTTAATTGACTGGATGTGGAGATTTCAGTAAGATAATTTAGTGATGGATACACGTGTGCTTTCTTCAGTGAGAAAAAGCAGCTCCTTAAACACTAGAACAAGCACAATCAAAACCTTTTATGGCAGTTGAAATTGTTCTCAGTGTTAATTACCCTGTTTACCACAGGTTAGTGTTGGCCATCCATCCGAAGTAGATGAAATATTCGATGCTATTTCTTACAGCAAGGGAGCATCTGTAATCCGCATGCTACATGACTACATTGGTGATGAGGTAAAAAGATTGTTGTTAAAAAGCCAAATGTAGATTATAAAATTTTTTTACAGTTAAAAATACTGTTTTTAAAAAAAAAAAAAAAAAAGTTAAATCTGTGTATTCTGAAAACTTTTCTCCAATTTGTATTTGGGATCTATTTGAACTTAACGAGGAGAAGTAAGATAATGGGGAAAATATGTAAGGAGTTCCAGATGTACATACTGATCCTAAGATTCCTTGGCTAATTCTTGACTATAAATGCAGCACAGAGGGAGGATAGGAAGGACCTCTGTTCTGGTGCCATTACATATTCAATTGTATGTTCCCAGGACTTTCGGAAAGGAATGAATTTATATTTAACGAAGTTCCAGCAGAAGAATGCTGCTACAGGTAACTGGTGGTTATTATGTGCTTGAGGAAAGTGATTTCTGGAGACAAAACTTTTAGTGCTGAAGTGATGGATTCTTAAACAGCTGGTTTTTTTCCACCTAAGATAACTGAAATGTGAGGAAATAATTGCCTTGTTTCCAGTTTCATGCAATGCATCCCCTGCACAGCCAGAATTCAGGATCCTCTAGGGGTTCTCTATCTCAAGAGTACGTGGGTGAGGTAATCTGATAGGGCTGCATTTACCCTTGATAACCACATCTGCCTAGTAATCTAATTTAGAAATAAGAGTATGTGGATTTGCCAAGTAAGCCTTTTGCAAGCTTCCTCTCTCAGTATTGATTGCACGTGTCATTAAACAGTTCAAAGTCTTGTCTAATATCTCACAGTGCTTTCTTTACTTGAACCTTTTTTTGTGTCTCAGGCATAAATATGGAAGTGGAACATCATGCTCTGTCAGCCAAAAACACTCCATGTTTGGTCAGCTCTTTTGGCATAATATATGAAAAACTTAAGGAAAAGATTCTTCTATTTACCATTTTGAATATTTAATGCTCATTTTTATTATACTTTACCACAGTGTGTATTGATTGTGGTTTTTTAGTAGTAAAGAAACTTTCTTCTCCCTTCTCTCCCCTGTGAGTGGTTTAAACTATTTCCTTTTTCTTGCCTTTTGTCTGTTACAATTTGATAAAAACACAACCCAAAACATGAAGGGCAAACTGGAGTAATAAGACAGCCTCCCACTCTCCAGTGCCCATGTAGTGTCCTTAATAGTGTCTGACATGTCACGACTCTGGGAGGGTCCTTAGTCAGACTTTTCTTCTGCAGAGGACCTCTGGGAAAGCCTGGAAAAAGCCAGTGGTAAACCTATTGCTGCTGTGATGAATACATGGACCAAACAAATGGGATTTCCGCTCGTTTATGTGGAAGCTGAACAGGTATATATATATAATA